GGAACACCAGCTGGGAAGTGATAAAAACCTCAATATGTCCCCCCTGATTTTTTATCTCTGTTTCGTGATAAAAACCTCAATATGTCCCCCCTGATTTTTTATCTCTGTTTCTCTCAGTGTTTTTTCTAAAACCAGGAGGTTCCCCAAAAGGACCCTGATAAAGTGAATTATCTGTGACATCACAAGGCAGAGTTCAGACACTAAACACCTCCTTTAAACCAGCATTTCTCCAATATTTTAACAAAAACCTCTCCTTATCTTTGTCTCCTCCTTGCCTTTGGAGCAGAGGAAATACCTGAGCTGTCACCTCCCAGGAAAGCCCCCAGGGCCTGAGCTGTGTCTGCTGGGCTGGTGAAAAGGTGGGAGACACAAATTTAATTGAAAGATAAAGAATCATTGCCCTAATCCACTATTTCTCACATTTCTGCATGTGTTTTTCTCCAGTGGTTGAAGGCTTGGAGTAACTCTCCTTCCTCCCCCTTCCATTCCCAGCTTTAATCATTTCCTGCAAATATTTACACTAATCAGAAAATAGCTAATAAATCTTAATTCCTGGCAACACCTCAGTTGCACCAGGGCTCAGCAGGGGCAAACCAACTGTAATTACTGAGCTGGTACTGACAAAGATGATTTCCTTCCCAGCAAAACCACTCTGAAATCCTTTTGGAGCTCTTACCTGGCCCTGCTGGGGATGGAAAAGAGGGTTGAGAAATGCTGATCTGTAAGGGTTCATTTGGAAATGGGATTTCTTTCATTTAAAGGTATCAGAGCAAGGGAGAGCATCAGAACCTCTGCACTATGAACAGAAATATTTGTGCCCTTCAGGTAAACCTGAAACACCTCCCTCTCCAGCAGGGCTGTTCAAACACATCTCTGGTCACATCAAATACAACTTCATTTTTCTGTGTCATCAGGATTACCTGGAGGACTGGGAATCACACCAAACTCCCCCTAATTCCTTGTGGCAAGGCAGGGAATCCTCATGTTTGACTTCCAGCAGCTGGAAAAGGGGAAGGGTCAAAGCTGTGCTGTGGGAGCGATGGAGAACAGCATTTCGGGCTGATTAAAATGCTTTTATCCATTGTTCTGCACTAGAAGCCCTCACCTTTATTCTCCCACTGGACGTGCAGGTGACACCAGGCACCAGCTGGGAGCTGATGGGAAGAAATGGAGCACAAGCAGCACCCTGAGGATGCTGAGCTGCAGCCCCAAAGCGACAGCCAGCTGCATCATCCAGCACCCTGCACTCAGGACACAGAGGCTGATGGCATCTTTCCACTGCCAGGACCTCCCCAGCACGGGTACTGCAGATAAACAGAGTCCCTGCCTCTGGGATCTGCTCTTAAATGAGGAACCTGGGGCAAAAAGGGTTTGGGGTTCTTCCTTGGTGGCAGATCTGAGCTGCAGCACCTGCCCCAAGCTCCCCACAGCAAAGTGTTTCATTTTATTCTCCATTTCAGAGCAGAAAATATATCCTGAGGACAGGAAAGCTGAGGGTGGGAGGATGGGACTGAAAGGGAAAGCCTTGATCAGACAGAAAACCCAAACAATCCAGAGCATGGAGCAAGGCAGGGTAGATTTTCAAGGATCTGTCTGGTGGCAAAGCCTCTTCTGATTTTTGTCATTTTTTGGGGTTGGTTTCTTTAGGCTGCAAACAACCAACCAGACTTCCAGAGGATGCAGAAGTTCCCAGCCCTTCAGCAAATCCAGCAGGTACCAGTTCTCCAGAGAATCCAGCAGGGAGCAGCCCTTCTGCATCCCCAGAGAATCCAGAAGATTCCAGCCCTTCTGTATCCCCAGAGAATCCAGAAGTTTCCAGCTCTTCTGCATCCCCAGAGAATCCAGAAGTTTCCAGCTCTTCTGCATCCCCAGAGAATCCAGAAGATTCCAGCCCTTCTGTATCCCCAGAGAATCCAGAAGATTCCAGCTCTTCTGCATCCCCAAAAGATCCAGCAGTTCCCAGCTCAGCACCAGCCCAGCCAAACCTCACAGGTGTCACATCTAAGGGTGAGTTTGGTCTCAGGCACCTGAATTTATCAAACCTGAAATTACAGGTATCTCAGAGAGGAGTTTGGGACACAGAGCACAGCATTTCCTGCTTATTCCTTTTTTTCCCCTGCGTTTCCCAGCCCTGCAAGCAGCCCAAATCCCTCTCCTTGGGTTTGGAGCAGGCTGGGATGCTGTGGATGGGCTGCACTAGATGGCACTGTACAACAACTCTTCATCTGTGCTTGCACAGAACTCGGGAATTTTTTTTCCCAGCACAATCAAAAGCTCCACAGCCCAAATAAATCGCCCAAAACCCCACCAAGAATTTTGCGCCTGCTTAGCACGCCAGGCCCTGCAGTGACAAATCAACTGCTGCTTTAGGAACGCCCAAACTCTTTGTTTCTGTTGGTTTAAAAGTGTTGTATCAGTAATTGCAAACAGCTCAAAACTGATAAATACAGGCTGATAAACCCTGACACGTGTCAGGACAATATCCATGGAAAGAGAGCCTTAATTCCTTAAGAGGGGATGGAACCAGAGGGGCTTTCAGGTCCCTTCCAACCCAAACCAAGCTGGAATTCTGTGGCTTTTACTGGGTGTGAAAAGGAAAGGAAAATCTCTTATTAATGCAAAGTTTTGGTACACACAGCACACACCATCGTTTCAGCACTGCAAATCAAAGTTAATGATTAGATATATTTATATATAATTATACATAAGGATGTATTGTCTGAAAGCAGAGCTCACCTCTCCTGTCTGCACAGGGCCTGAAGAAACAACAACAGCAGCAGAAGAATTGGGAGGTTCATCGAGTTCTGGGGGCTTTAATGGTAAGAAATTGCCTCATCACACACTGGGGGTGGTGGCAAAGGACAGGGCTTGTCAGGAAAGGAGGAGTCAAGGCCATGAATACCAAAATATCTGCTGTAAGTAGAAGGATTTGGGCTCCTTGCTGGTTTTTCAGGCAAGAGGAGCAAAATGATGGACAGGGAAAGTTCCAAAATGACCAAGCTGAGCTTGGTTTTGATTTGCCTCTAAATTGTTTCTCTAACAATGTGTTAATAAATATAATAAATATAAATAAAATTAAATAGTGAATAAAATAAAATAGAAAGTCTTTTAATTATAAAATGCAAAGTATTTTAAATAATAAAAAGAATAAAATTAAACACAGAGTTAGGGAAGTGAGCGCAGACCTCACCTCAGGGGCAGTACCTGGTGCCCTGAAGCTGCTGGGGAAATGAGAATTTCTTAACCATCCCCTCAGAGAAATTTTGTTCTCCCTTCCCTTCCTCCAGGGACTGAAACAGCAGCCAGTGGAAATGGCACCGAGGAGGAGCCTCCCAGGACAGAGGTGCCACCACCACGTGAAAAAATAACAGTGATTTCCACCCTCACCCTCGGTAGGAACACTTTGAGGAGTTTACAAACCTTTCTGAGTCTCTCTGAGCACAAACCCCCTCCAAATCCTCTGAGAGGATTAATTAATCCTCTGCTCCTGGGGGATGCCACAGAAACACAACCATTTGTATCATCCAAAAAAATGGAAGCTAAATTTCACTGTTTGCTGTGCCAAAGCCACCGAGTCCAGTTTTCCTTCTTCATGCCATAAAATAACTTGACCTCACATCCTAAAATTAAGTCCAAAACTTAATGAACTTGTGATTAAGGTGAATTCTTCACAATTCCTTGGGAGAATTCTGCTCTCCCACCACACTGATCCAAGTGAAATCATTCCAAATTACCAGAGACCCACAGGACATTTACCAACGCAAACCTCTGTTACAGAGCAAAATCCTGAATCCAAAAGCATCGTCAAGAAGGAGAAGAATCTCCTGCTGCCCATCCTGGTGGCTGCTCTGGTTTTTGTGCTGCTCATCATTGTCCTGCTTTTCATGGCAAAGCTGAAGAAAGCCCACGGGGTGTGGAAGAGAGGTGAGGGCTGGCCTTGAGCCCATCCCTGAGGTGGTCAGGCTATTTTAATAACCCTATTTATAATATTTAATAATATTTAATAATATTTAATAATATTTAATAATATTTAATAATATTTAATAACTCTTCTCTCAGGATTTTTATGCTTAAGGCAGAGGGTGAGAAAGAACAATGCGGAAAACAATCTCGTTCTCGTAATTAAATTTGTTTTTTCCACAGAAAATGATGTTTCAGAGCAGACACTGGAGAGTTACAAATCCAGATCTAACGAAGACAGCCCAAGCCATGAGAAGAATGGACCAGGTAAAAAGCTTTAATTAACATAAATCATTCTTGTTTTATTTAATTGCTGCTGACCGCAGCCAAAGAAGATATTAATAACTAATAATAAACAATAAATATGTGTTGTGTTTTAGCTGTAAATCCCAAATCCAACATGCAATATGTAACAGAAGGACACGTGGAAACCCCAGAGAAGAATCTGGAAACCCCAGAGAAGAATCTGGAAACCTCAGAGAAGAATCCAGGCGACGAAAACACGGCAATAAGTGAAGAAATGTTTAAGTGTGGAAGGGAGACAGATGTATAACTGAGGAAACTGCAGTTTCCTGATATTTGTATTCAAGTTTTCAAGGATCTTGATTTCAAGGAGCAGAAGGCACAAAGCTCCATCCCAAAGCCACCTGGGGGTGGTTTTGTCACCCAGCAGGACAGGGAGATGGGACTGGTGCTCCTGGAACCCTCAGGGGTGTCATGAACCACTGCCACAAACAGCTCATCAACCCCAGCAGCAATCAGGGTCCTGTGAGGACATCCAGGCCCAAATGAAGATATTTCTGATTGATTTTGTCACCTCCTCCATGACCACGGGGCTGAGAAGGGAATCCCAGGTGCTACAAACCAACTGTGACTTTTATTTTCTCCCTGTGACCCCAAACCTGGATTTCCAGCTGGATTTAACCAAGCTGGGAAGCAGCCTGATGTCCAAAGGATTAAAAAAAAAACCAAAAAAAAACCCCAAAACATAAATCCAACCCAAATTATTCTATATATGCTTATATGTGTGTATATATATATATATATATATGTATATATATGTATATATATATGTTTTGATGATTCTGTGAAGCCTTCAGACGTGAAGGGGATGTTCCACATGGGACTTCCCAAATCCTGGAATGAGGGCAGCAGGAGAGCTGGGAGCTCTCCAGGGCTTCACAGGAACACTTCCTGCTCCAGAAGGGTGAAAGAGAAACCCTAAAAAATAAAGGAAATGTGAATTACAAGGATTTTTTGTCATTTGCAGACTCACAGAATAGTTGGGGTGGGAGGGGAGCTCTGGAGATCACCCAGACCAGCCCCCCTGGCCAGGCAGGCTCACCTGGAGCAGTGACAGGGACACATCCAGCTGGGGCTGGGGTGGCTCCAGAGACTTCTGGAGAATCCAGAGCCTCCCTGGGCAGCTGTTCCACCTCCATGGAGGGAAGTTCTTCCCCTCCAGTTCCTCCCTGTCTTTCCTGCACCGAGAAGCCCAGAAACTGACACTGAATTTCATTAAGTAAAACTCATTCTATACTATTATTTCTCACTGGAGGTGCGAAAACGTGATGAAAAATGGGGTTTGAATACCGAATGAGATAAAAGCCCCTGCGTATTCCTTTTTCCGATGGAGACAACTCCACATTTCAATGGAAATAATTCCATTTTTCGATGGAAAGCGGCCGCTCGGGCGCTACCATTGAGCCCGCGGGAGGGGGGGGAACCGAGCTCCCCCCACGGGCCCGCGCCTGGTGGGTGCGGCCGGCGTCTGCAGGGGTTGCCGTGGCAACGAGAGCGGGGCCCGGCCGGGAATGGGCCCGAGCGGGAATGGGCCGGGAACAGCGGTGAGAGGGACAGGGACACGGGACAGGGACACGGCAACAGCGGTGAGAGGGACAGGGGAGGTCTCGGGGACACAGTGACTTTCCTCTGGGGGCTGAGCTCCTGCTCCAGGCCAGGAGATTCCACCTTCCCAGCCCATCCCAGGCCCTGCTCCCGGGGCTGCAGTGCTCACTGATGGGAGCAGGGGACACAGGGGACACAGGGGACAGTCCGGGGGTCAGGGCTGCCCGCAGGGTGAACTCGGGTGTGACCAGAAGGGCTGAAATATCCCAAATTATTTAACCCAGGTCCTAAAGTGGCACTGCCTGTGCACCTCTCACCGCGCTGCTCTCAGGGTGTGCTGTGACTGATGCACATTTCAGCACATAAATCTCCTTTTCCTCCCTCCCACTGCAACTTGGGAATGTCTGGCAGTGCAAACGACTTCTGAACACTTCAACTGAGTGTAAAGAAACTCTCATCCTAATTTAGAAAGAGCTCCAGTTCTCACTGTGCTCCCTGTCACACCTTCTTGCTGATTTTATGTCTCTGGAGAGTATAAAGTTGCGTGAAGAGAACAAACAAAATTCATTTCAATTCTCAAAAGTTAACAGATAACAGAAATGCTTTGTCTCAGCTTCATTTTCTTTGTCACAAGCTGGTTTTGCATTATTTATTACCACAAATAGTGGAGGTTTCATAGCAATAAATCCTGTATTTGATGTGAAGAGACTTTGACATTATTGCTTAAAGGAAAATCAGTGGAACAGATGAGAACAGAGAGATATTTGCACAATAGAAGGTCAAATTCTGAGCCTAAGCCAATGGTAGCGCCCAAAATGCAGCTTTGAAATATTATTACAGTATTTTATCTTTATGTGTTCTCCAAATACAGGGCTGGTGTGAACCATCAGTGCAAAATACAGGATGAACTCTCCAAACATGAATTACATTTCTGTCTCTTCCCCACACACTCACACCACGAATAACATCCACGTCCCTCCAAAAATCCTGGTGCCGCCCGTTTTCCAACCTGCGAGCTGGGAAATGGAAAGGAGCTCTGCCTCCAGTCTGGAGGATTCCCAGGAATCTGACTCCAAGAGCCTGGAAAAGGAGAGGCAATACCAGCTGAGACTCGAGCAGAGCATCCTGGACAATCAGGAGCTGGAAGGGCAGGATCCTGGTGACATCCTGGAGGATGACAGCTTGGAAGAGGACAGCTTGGAGGAGATGAGTTCTGAAGAGAACGGAGCTGAGTATGGCACAATTAAGAAAGGAAAACAAAAGATTTATGGCAGTGGAAGGTAAGGCAAAAACTTCACTGGAACAGAATAATTCTGATACTTTTAAACTGATGTTCCTCAAGGCCACATTTGAACATCCTTCAGAAAGCATTAATTCGGTACATAAAATAAAATTGAATATCCTGTCGTGTGCATGGAAGGTTTAACCCTGGATAAATTGGAAATAATTCTTGAGTTTAAAGGGATTACATTAAACCTGAAGTAATAACAATGTGCAGTTTCAATTTAATAGTCTACTTAAAATAAAATGACAAACAAATGAAGGCTAAATGATTAATAGCATGCTTTTATTCACCTCCTCAACAAGCAAAATGGCCAGTTATTGAATATTTTATTGTGAGTGCAAATGATGTTAATTGTACTAGAAACATGCTCTAATTTTTAGTAATTTTTTTGGACTGAATACTGTGCTGAATGTGAGGCTCTTCATTAAATGGAAATTTGATTTTATTTTGTTTGAACTTAGCCCAGTAAGTACTCCAGTGCAGTCCATTAAGCAGAGCAAATATCACAGCACATACATATGAAACCCCCTCTCTACATCCATTACCAACCTCGGAATTTGAAGAGGAAACGCTGCAGCTGTTGTCTGCTCACCACACTTTTGTTGAGGAGCACAGAGTCCATCCAACCTCCCCACGGAGCTGGGGGCAGGAATAAAAGGTGCCCTTTTTGTCTGGGGATGATTAGGGATGAAGGAGCTCTTCACACTCATTTTGTCCCCGCACGGTGACCTGGGCTGAGCCCCACAATTGGGTTCTGTGCACACATTTCAGCACAAAGGGACTCTTTAGCATTATCCTCTGCCATTTCAATCATTGCAATTAGCTCACATATTTCTGTACTCACTTCAAAACAGCCTCACCTCGTGCTGTTTACCTGCAGCCCCTGCCAGTTGGGAATAATGATGTTTTCCCTGGTGGAAATCAGCTCCAGGAGACCGTGGCACCTATGCTCACCTGGAAAACAAAAACAAACAGATTATTTTGTTATTAGGAGCCACTTGAAATATAGGCAGAGGCATGAAACTCGTTGAGAAAAGAGGAATAAATGATTTATTGAAATGTTAATAACATTAACTAGGCCACAGGTTGGGGAATCCAGCAGATTTCTTTAAGAGATGCTGAAGAATCAACCAGGTTTTGGTGCCTGTAAATGTCCCTCTGGCAGAATCAACAAGAAACCAGGTCTGTACTGCAGGTCCAGGGAAGAAAAAATTGCGTTAAAAGCTTTTTTTCCCCCCCCATTCCATCCTCCTGCCACTGCCTGCACATCTCCTGGACACCTGTTTGCATGGATTTGGCTCCTGCAGTTGGCTTTCCTCCCATTGGATCAGATCTTAAATCAGAAATTGGATCAATTGTGGATTTTTTAAGGCAGAGCATCTAGCTTTGCTTTATGACAAATGTAACTCAGAGCAATAGTTTGGCCACTTGCTGAAACAATTGTCAAACACGCAGACTTTTCATTTATGTTTTTCTACTCTTATCTAATCACCACCTGCTTTTTAATAAAAAGTGATTTAAACTCATTTATAGAAGGAGTTTTTGAATCAAAGCATCGTGATGTTTCACAGGAGTGAGGAGAGAAAATAAGAACAGAGAGCTGGAGGATGTTCTTGCTTGGACAGTCTCCAAATGAAACTTAAAGAACTGATTTTACCAGGAATTTCACTTTTATTTCACTCAGCAGAGCCTTTGAAGAAGGAGCAACACAAACTGCCTTTTCTAGACTATATAAAGCAATTTATCATTTCACCTTTTAGCTGGTTCTACTAGGATTTAAAAATTTCTTTGCCAGATTCAGGATAATGATTGTATTCCAATGTGATCTGAGTGTTAGACCGATTTATCATTCACTGATGATGTAAACTGCAAAGAGGAAGGCTTGCCTAAATTTTCTACTAAAAAATCTTTGATAAAACTGTTCTGATCCTGATCCCATACTGAATGCACTGAAATAATTCATTTGGTCACATCAGGACATCACACAAATCAGAATTTGTACAATTTATGCAGAAATAATTTGGTGTTTGTTTTTTAATTAGGAAAAAGCTACCTGTGGACAAATATCCCAGCCTGAGGTACAATTGGAAGAGCACAGGAAATGGAGCAGAATTTTTTAAGGAAGAGAAAGCATCCCCAATTTCTGGAGAAAGCAGTGGAGACTTTTCACTGGATTCATTTTATCTCCATTCTGATGGCTCCTCAGAAAATAATCAACAGGAGGAAAAGACCCAGGATTCACTGCCAGAGTCTGGTCCAGAATTATTCAGCTTTTATGGAGCAAATGTGGCCAGCAACAAAGCTGTTGGGCCGCAAGCCAAAAGGAAGGAACCTGCAGATGGATTTCATCCCAAAAATAATCCTGGCCATGCTTTTCCTCCTCAGAATCAACAGAATCCACCCCAAAGAGCAAAACACAACTTTGTGAAAAAAAATAAACGGACTTTGGGGTTACAATCAGAGAAAGTGAATTCCTATCTTGAGCTGCACAATAAAAAACAGCAAGTTCTTCAAGGGCAGGTGGGTACATTTATAAATCCCCTGATTTCTTTACACGAGGTCTGTCTGGTGTTAAACTCTCAGCTTTGCAGAGGGGAGAAGCAGATTTGAAATCCATGGTGCAAATTCTGATTTCCAGGGAGAATCTTGTTCACCCTTGATGGAATAATTGACAAATTTCCAGTGGTGGCCACATTCCAGCTGCCTGTTCCTGGCCAGGAAAATGTCACAGATCTCACACCACTTTTTAATCTTGATGCTCAGGAAATTCTGTCTTCTTTCCTGGTATCTGCACTGCCCCTTATCAGTGGCTTTTTTTTATGCTGCCTCTCATTTCCTCTGCTTGGCCAAGATGAGTTTGATAACAATTCCCTCTGCTAATGCTTTATTCCAGATTTTTCTCAATGGAGCAAATGCAAAGTTGGTTAGAAGGAATCTTGAAGCTCATCCACTGCCACCCCAGGGACACCTTCCCCTATCCCAGGCTGCTCCAGGCCCCGTCCAGCCTGGCCTTGGGCACTTCCAGGGATCCAGGGGCAGCTCCAGCTGCTCTGGGCACCCTGACAGGGAACAATTCCTGCCCAATATCCCATCCATCCCTGCCTTCTGGCACTGGGAGTCATTCCCTGTGTCCTGTCCCTCCATCCCTTGTCCCCAGTCCCTCTCCAGCTCTCCTGGAGCCCCTTTAGGCTGTCAGGAGCTCTGAGGTGTCCCTGGAGCTTCTCCTCTCCAGCTGAGCCCCCCCAGCTCTCCCAGAGGGGCTCCAGCCCTGGAGCAGCTCCGTGGTTTCCTCTGGAATGTGCTTGGCCTTGAACTCCGTGAGATTTCCATGGGCTGATGTCCCAAGCCTGTCATGATCCCAGATCAAATTTGATGTTGGACATCAGCCTTTGTGTGTCTGGAAGTCCTGACTGCAGTCTCAGCCAACTTGTGGCAAGGTTCAAGTGGAAATTAATTACAGTTCCTAATGAACCATTAGAAATGAGTTTATTGCTTTTCTTTGCTACTTATTATGCATAATGGAAAGGGGGGATCACTCAGTCACTCCACACAGAAAATTCTTACCTTGGAAAGCTCCAGGGACATTGGGCTTCAAGTGACACCTGTGCCAAGGCTAATGAAGAGTTGTCACAACATTAGAGGGAATTTTCTGACTTCATTCCAGTGGCAGGAATGATGGACAGGTTTTTTTTTCTAATAGAGCTATTAAGAGCACTTGTTTTTTTTTCAGTTCTAATTTGGATGGTGGTAAAAATAATGAGTGTAGGTGGATGCTAATTAGAGCTATGTTGATATGATTATGTTTGCTATTCAGGGAATTGTGGAAATCTTTCCTGTCTAAGTGTTGGAGCCAGGGATCAGGACTTCATTGTGCAGACACTGTTCAAAAACATGGAATGGGCAAAGGAATCTGTTAAAATCAGGGTTATGAGATAAGATTATCTTGCTGAAGTGGTCGTGGGGACAGCAGAGAGGTGACACAGCAGGCAGAGGGTGTGCAGGAAAGTGTGTTCCTAACCTGGACAAGTTCATACAGCTGCAACCTCTTGTTGGCCAGGGAAGTTGTGGACTTCCCATGCCTGGAAGTGTTCCAGGACAAGGCTTGGAGCAACCTGGGACAGTGGAAAGTGTCCCTGCCCGTGGCAGAGGGTGGGACAAGATGAGCTTTAAGGTCCCTTCCCACCCAAGCATTCCAAAATTCTGTGATTCCATGAGCAGCATCACCACCTGCTGTCAGCCACCTCTGGATCTGCTGCAGGACAGGCACAAGTTACTGATTCATTTGCTGTTAATTTCCAGTTCATTTACTGATTCCTAACCAAGATATCCACGGCTCAGTCTTGTTGGAAGGGGTGAAAAAAGTCCTGAGGGGAGCATCGAGGTGGTCCAGGAGCCAACTTTGGTCACCTCACCTGGAAAGCTCTGTCCAAAGTGCAAAACCACCAAGTATGTGAGGAAACAAATGAGCCACGTGTCATCAATTAAATTGTGCCTTCCTAAACTGGTTATTGTGAGCTTTGCAGGGGGTTGAAGCTGAATTATTGACCTGATCACTGCTGGCTGTCAGGGGTTATGGGAATGAAGCAATGTTTGCTTTGAGGGCAGGACTTGGTGCACAGCTGACATAAAGTGAGTTAAAACATTTCCATCCTCGTTCTGCAGGATTTAGATTTACAGATTACAGGTCTTCTCTATGCTGGAGGTACCAAAACACACCATAAATCCCTGCTGATTTATATATTCACTAATTTATACAGAATTTTATACACTATCAAGTGATTTGCTGTCTGATTCTTAAGGAACCCCATGATGAGTTTCTTTGAGAGAGGGGGAGAGGCAGAAGGAGAAGCAGTGGCCCAGTCTAGCTCAGCTGTGCTCAATCCGAGTTGCTTTCCTACCTCCAAGCCCCTCACTTCAAAGCCAGGAACATAATGTACAATTTTTTAATGGCTCTAGAGCAAGGCACTCAGACTCTCTGTGCACTGAGCCTTCCCTCGGTGTAAACACCTAATCAAGATTGCCTGTGCTTCAACAATAGCAGCCAAATGCAATTCGAGAACCACAAGGCTTTGAAGTCCTCCCTGCAAAGGCTGGTTTGCCAGTCTGGGATAATGACATGCCATGATTGCTGCCTTTGTTGTATCTTTTCAGTGGAGAAGCAATTATGGGCCTCAATTTAACAGAATAGGCATTACACAGCTTATGATTCTCAAAATGCAATTTCATTTGATCATTTTCTCAATTTGATTGGTATTAATAGAATGGTTCACAAAAAAAAAAAAATAGGGAAAAAAAAAAAATGCTGGCAGAGGTTGTGTCCTGTTCCTCTTTCAAAGAGATAATGTAGAAGTATGTTTTACCTGCCCAGCACTCCATCAATGCACTGAGTCACTTGGTTCCACCAAAAACATCTTATTCACTGCAAATCTGTGTCTGTCTACAGCTCAGGAAAACCTCTGTGGTATTTTTTAATTTTCTTGTGAATTTTTCCAGGGATTTACGTTGAATTTGGAGCCATGAGATCACCCATAAACTCATCAATAAACCCTTCCCACCTTTCCTTAGCTGCCCTAATCTCTTACCCCCAAAGTGAGAGGCTCAGCTTCTCACATTTTCTCACCACTGATGAGTTTCAGTTGATAATTCTCTTGGTCATAAATATCTTCTTCTGTGGGCCCACTCTGCTTTGGAGCAGAGATTCCTGTCACAGTGACACTTCTTCAACCAAAATACTCAGCAGGATAGTTTGGGACAAAAAATTGAAATTAAAAAACGTTAAAAATTGGATTTCCTGTGATTTTATAGATTAAAAAAAAAAAAAAAAGAAAAAAAAGAAAGAAGTTTATTTTAAGAAAAAATTTAATTGTTGCTATATTTACAAGGGTATCACTGATTGTCAAGAACTTGCTCCAAATCAATTTCCAGCCGTGGCTGTGTGGAGCTATCCTTGTTTTTGAGTTTGTTTTCCAAGGCTCTGTGGATCCCAGGCTGTTTTTTTCTGCAGCTCCTCCTATGCTTTTCACCCCCCATTATTGTGTTTTGCCAGCTTTTCCTGCAAGCCTCTCTTGTTGAGGCCCGGGATGTGTCTGATTGCCTGGCCAGGGATGGTTTCTGGTTGTTTTTCTGTTATTAGGTGCATCCAGTGGCTCTCATGGAAATGGAGGAGCCCAGCATTTGAGAGTTTCTGTGCTGCACACTTCCTGCAATTTTCCTTCCTTTTATTCCTCTTAAAAGTAATAGGAATCCTCCCTCCCATTAATTGGGTTTTGCTTCTTTTTCTCCTTTAACCATTTCTCATCCACTCCATAATGCCAAACTTTAGCGTTTAAATTTTAATAAGCCACAAATTATTTCCCATTATTTCCCCAAGATGTTAAAATCCCTTCACCTGATTGCTGTGACCGTGAACATTCCTGGTTTTTAGGTCACAGATCCTATGGCAGTTGATGAAGAACCACTCCAGAGTGTCCCAGAATTCCAGACTGGGAAAATGAAGCCTGAAGACAAATGGTACCCAAAAGGACAGCAGCTCAAGGTTCCTTTTTGAGAGAATTTAATAATTGAAATTCAATAGAATTTCATAGTTGAAATATATCTCTAAAAGCACTGAATTTGAATGCTTAAAGCTGTCATCTTGTTGCTTTTAAAGGAACTATTACTGACAAGAAATCTTTAAATATATATCAGTAGATCATCACTATCATCTAATGCATGTGTGCTTTATGTACTCAATAAATTTAAAGCAAAGTGCCAACGAATTCTGAGCTCACAGAATTTATTATTCTCTATTTAGGAGATTATTTGGCTATTAATCTAAAATTACAGACTAGTACATGGTTGTGTTTGATGGTTTGGGAGGATTCTGAGCCAGAACTTCACCATTTCTGCCTTATTTGTCCCCTAAAATTAAGGGGGAGTTAATTAATTACCATAAACCAGAAAATGCTCCAAGCAGAAGTTGCACTCACTTCCTCCACGCTCCTAAATCTGTAAATCTGATTTATGCTGGCCTTTAAACCAATGTTCAGTCTTTGGAGCAATAAAGGCTCCAGGTTATCATCAATGATAAAAAACTAAAGATCATTATTGGCAAACCCAGTAACTTTCTGTGCACTACAAGGATTTGAAGTGGTCCAGGAACTGTTTAAATTCTGGAATTTAAAGACTGGGAGCTGCACTGCTCTAAAATACAAACAGGATTTTCTGCTGCTGTTCACTGGCAGAGATTTGCTTTCTACCTGGAATTTCAGAATGAAGGATTTATTTATTTCAGTGTTTAAATGGGAAAACATGGGCCTGCTCCCAGTTTGGCTGCTGCCAAAATTATTCTCTATTTAGGAGATGATTTGGTTGATAATTTAAAATTACAGACTAGTACATGGTTGTGTTTGATGGTTTGGGAGGATTCTGAGCCAGAACTTCACCATTTCTGCCTTATTTGTCCCCTGAAATTAAGGGGAAGTGAATTAATTGCCATAAACCAGGAAATGCAACCAGATAATATCCCAAAGAAATTCTGGCTCAGAATCCTCCTAAACCATCACCCTGTACTAATTTATAATTTCAGATTATCAACCCAATAATCTCCTAAATAGAGAATTTTGGCAGCAGCCAAACTGGCTGGAGGCCAAAACAAATAATTCCACAATGTGCTAGGACATGAAGCTGAAGGAGTCAGGATTCCCAGGGCTAAAGGTTTTCCCAAAACCTCCTGGAATTGTGTGGATTTCACACCTAAATCGATCATTTATTCGAGTGCATTTGCCACGTGCTGACTGCAGGGGTTTGCTCACAAAAGAAACCCAGAGATTCAGGAGGGTGGGGTGGAGGATTCCAGCCCTTCCAGAGGTTTCATGGGGTGAGAATGGATTTGTGGATTCCCTGGAAGGAAATCCAAGTCTTTCCTCCAAGTGGGGAACACCTGATGCTGAAAGTGATAGATTTAAATGAATTTCAGGTTTAGAGTGTGGCAGTTGGGCTCTAAATAGTCCTGGTGTGCTTGAATTCTTCAATTCTGGATTCTGTTTTGCAGGGAGGAGTGTTTGGTTTAGAAATAAGATTATTTCTATAGCTGGCATCAGGCTGTTCTACCATGGGCCAGTCTAATAATGTGTGCAAGGTCATTTTCCCTGAAATTTGGCAGATAAAAAGCAAGAAGTGCTTTGATTTTTGGAGCATTTTTTCCAGGTGCTTGGCAGAGAGGTGTCACCACAAGGTTAGATCTGTGCACTCACCATTTTTGCACCTCATGCAGGTAAAACTCCCTCAATCCACATTTACCACATCTGGTTTGCATCTGCAAGGACCTGATTTTATAATCCAGTGCTGCAGAATTTGTCTCAGGCCATTAAGCAAAGTTTTGATGCAGAATTATTCATTGTGCAGCACCTGAATAAAATCTCTGCTCCTGTTCTGGACTGAGGCTTCCTCCAAATTTGAATTTTAGGTTAAATCCAGCCATGAGCAGCACAGAGAGATTTTGATGTGGGTGATGAAACTTCTAAATTAATATCTAAAATATCCACCATGAAAATTCACCCAGCTGTCGATAACTTGTTTCAGGAGCAGCACAAGTTCTTCCAGAGAAATAAAACAGAACCCAACCAGACTCTGGGTGGAAAATCTTTCCCAAGGAATGATGGCCAAGAAGCCCCAGGAAGAGCAGCAGAAGCAAAGTCCTGGCACCAGAGTCACCAGCAAATCCCAGGATTTCAGGCTGTTCCCACTGCAGTAGAGCAGGATCACAGCTCAGCACTGCAGGAATATCTGAGTCCAAGTTCTTCTGTTGGCCCTGACCCAGCAGAAAAATCCCAAAACCGCTTCAATAATTTCCCAAATTCAATCCTTTCCCCATCTACCGATCATTTCCTCCCAATATTCCAGAATTTTTACCCATCAGACATTTTAGATCCAGAATATCCCAGTGAGAACAAGAACTACCAGCATGACTCTCCAACTGGAATTGGAGCCATTGCCATCCCTGGGCAGCAATTTTCCAGGAATTACAGCAGCAGTGGCCAGGCACTTCCAGAATTGGGGAATATTTCATCTGATTTTAATGCAATTTTTCAAGAAAGAGTGAAGGATCAAGCACCACTTCAAGCTTTCAAAAATCACATTCATGAGGATAACAGGTATCAGAACAGCTTGTGGTAAGGACTTAAGTGATAAAATAATATTATCATAACCCTGTGATGCCCAGAAAATAAACAAATGGACAAGAAAATGCTTTAAAACCTAAGGTATAAAATTATTCTGCCACAAACCTGCCATTGTAATTTACTACTAATAGAAAATTCATTATAACTATTGATTTTTAAGTGTGGCATTGGGAAGGGACAGTTCTGTCCTCCAGGTATGGAATTTTCCACAATCAAAAGTTTCATTCTAGGAGCCTGGGTGGAAAAGTTTAAAATATAGATAAGGAAGGGTGCTGTGCATAAATTGAGATTTTGTAGCAAAATTGGCTTTGCAGGGTGGATATCCAGGGTCAGTACTGTCCCTAAGGGGGAGAGCAGGAAAATCCTCAATTATGTAGAATTTCACCTGTCTCAATTAAAATAAAATGAAGGTTTTATTTCACATAAAGAAATAATTCTGTCAGTACTCAGCACTGATCCAAAGTCTTTCATTGGCTTCAGCTACCTTTGCTTTGGGCTGAAATTTCTCCATTTGTGTTTCTTTTCCCATTTATTTTCCATACATTGGGGTGCAAGTGAAGTCATTTATTACGAAATCCTCATCTTCCCATCTCCCTGCTCCCATATTCCACATTCATGTTGTTTGCTGAGCTCCCTGCTGTGTGTAAATCAAGATTTTTCCTCTTTCCCCCCTCACTTTTTAAGGCTTTTTCCATGTTTTGTTCGCAGTTCACCAACGGCTTCTTGTAGAACCTCCCATTTTAGAGGAACAAAGGAGCAGCATCAGCCGGGAGTTTGTGGGTGTGCAGATGAATTTGCTGGCACGTGGCTCTGGGGTTTGTTCCCACCTGCCCTGCCCCAGGCACAGAGAGGGTCACAGGGAGATTCAGGACGAGCTGAGGGAAATCCAAGGAAAATGAGAAGAAGCAGCTCAGAAGGATCTCTGCTGCAAAGGGAAAAGCTAAACCAACCCAAAGCCAGCAAGAAGGTGAGAAAAGAGATGTGGCTTGGGTGGTTTGAAATTTCTGTTCCCCCTCTAATGTTTTTTTTTTCTTAATAATCCAAAGGGTTTTTTTTAATAAAAAGAAACTATAAATAGGGACTGAGAAACATTTTGTTGTTGTAAAACCCCATGGACACACAGCAGAGCATTAAAATCCATGGAACAAAGGTAGGAACAGACACTAAAATCATTTTAGTCCAAAGAGCAAAGGGATCCACCAGGATCAGTCTGGCTTGGCTCCAGGGACACACAGAGCAGCATTTGTCCTGTAATTTATCCACAGATAAAATTATTTCGGGTCAGGCTGTTTGTGTGGAGCAGCAGGCAGCCTCAGATCTGAGCCATCCATTATCCTGCTCATGCTCCTTTATTGTCCAGCTCAAATCTCCTGCTTTCCAAGGGATTCCAACCCCAAACTTGGAGGATTTGTGAAAAGCTAACGGCATAAACATCATCCCAAACCTCCTGATGGTCCTTATTAAAGCTTGGATCTCTTTGTCTCCTCTGCCTGCCCACTTTTGCTGGTGTCACCACTTGGCACAGCTGCAGGGGGACAGCAGAAAGCTGCCCATGACAAATGAAATGTTGGAGAAGTTTGCTCCAAGTCTCAGGGCAGACAAACTAAGCTGGAATAATGATTTCATCCAGGAGGCAGTTTGGGTATTGCTGCCTGAGTGCCTCTAAGAAGAATTAGGATTATGATGGTAACTGAAGGGCAGATTTCCTTCCCTTTCTGTTCAAACCATTGTTTCTTGTCCTGTGCTTGCAGCAGTTTTCTCACGCTTCACATGTGAGGAATGCACAGAGAATCAGAATTGTGGCTCCCAGGAAAATCCAGCTTTTCCTAATAAACAAATGCACTCGTGCTCATTGCAAGAAGTGAGGAAACCCTGATTTTGTGGGGCACAGCAAAATTAACTCCTCACTGTACCATAAATTAAAAATTAGTGAGTTATAGCACATAAGAACAGGGATAGCTGACACAAAAAAAACTCAAATAGGAAATTTAGTGCGCAGAATTAATTTCTCTGCAGTTGAGTTTAACTTGAACCTGTGTTTTGAATACCCATTTTATTTGCAGATAGAAATTGGTGTTCCTGCATTACTCTGTGGTTGAAATTACCACAGAGCTGATCAAAATGAGCTTCACTGACAAGTTTTTTAAAACATAATTCCTTTCTAAAATTAATCTAGTGGCCTTGAAAGAGAATAAAAATATTACTGAGCATTGGAGTCTTTGTGTGATGTCCTGAAGTATTGGAATGGCATCACCCTCCACTCCTGCCTTCACTGTGCATTTGTAAAGTCTTTGCTGTGCAGAAAAGTGTGGATTTTTCAGCTGTCTGTGGATAATTTCCCAGTGCAGCTTTGAGAACAAGGAAAGGTTATTCTCACTAACATCATTTGCCTAATTTTTGCCACCAAAATCAGGTAATTTTATCTGCTTCTCTTACAAAAATTTCTTTGGAGTCTCATTCTAATCACAGTCAAATGAGTGGCTTTAAGCTGTTTCAAAATAAAGCTCACAAAAGGTCATTTTTGACTGAGAAAATATCACTTTGTGATTGGGATAATTGGCAATTTCCCACCTGGATCCAAAGGAAATTCTGTGTCATTTGACTTCGGCCATTAACTCAGTCCTGTTGGTCACTGATTTAAAATGAGATGTTCCAGGGGTAGGACTGAGACTGCAAATTAAATCCTGAGGTTTCCACTACCAGGCTTTCTTGAATTATTCTCTCTGTGAAATCATACTAAGGAAAATCTGTTTGCTGTTTAATTTTCAGCTGTGCAGCTCCAAATTCTACACCAATCTGAATATGAAGCTTGGAGGCCTTGGACCCGACTATGAAACAATCAAAGAGAAAGTGAGTTAACCAAAAGTGAATTTAGGCAGGGGAGAGTAGCAGAGAAATCATAATTTATGATTATCTGAGATTTTATATCCTTGGCTGGCTGGAGATCCTACAGGAAAATTCTTATAAAAGCAAGGACAGCTGTCCTGAGGATAATTTTAATCCTATAAATTTTAAATCCAGAAATAGGAATTAATCAGGGCTAATTGCACGTCAGAAAACGAGATACTCAAGTGGCTAAATTGTCATTCCCAGTGTAAAGATCCACCAAATGTTCAAAGGGGAAGTAAAAGTTGTGTGAACACAAGAAAATATCTGTCTGCACTCTGGTGAAATGGAGACATTCAGAATAAAGATGGACCTGTCACATTTCTGCTGAGCTCCATCCTCTATTCAGTCCAGGGAAAAGCTCTTAAAAGGGAAAAGCAACTAAAAAAAGCTCTGCCATTTATCAGGGGTTCCTGTTGTGTGCTGAGGAAGGATCAATGGGCAAAGCCAGGTTGAACAGCAGCAGAGATGGAAATGGAATATTAGTGGGAAAAGGGTTTCATTGATGGATTCCCCTGAGCCATTGAGTTCCAGTTCCTCTTTTCTGCTTTTCTCAGAAAGAAAAGCTAAAGCTGCAGAAGGAATATTCCAGGCAAATTAAGGAATATAACATGAAAAATATTACTGTGCTTCAGAGGTTGCCTGCAAAACCCCAGGTGTCTTCAGTGTCCAGACAGAAGGTAAGAGCTGTGTCTGCAGTGACAGTGAGGGCTGCAGGCTCCAGGACAAAGCTGTGGAGTATCAGAATTCCTCAGTTCCTTGCATTTATTCCCAAACATAAACCACTAAGAGGCAAAACTTTATTGTTTGGATGTCAAAAAGGGGTTTGGATTATTTTGGAGATGTCACCAGGAGCATGAGATAATGCAACTCCCCCTGGAGACGTGAGGTGTTTCCAAATCCGTGCAAGAAACGGGCACCAAAAGCCATCCCAGGTTAAAGGAGGGCTCTGGCAGCTCCAGGATTTCTGTGATACTCTGTCCATTCTGTCTCCAGGACACTTCCTGTGTTCCAGGCATCATTTTGCTTTTTAATTTTGATGGTTAAGATCATGCAGGAGAACCTGAGCTTGTCCTGTTAACCTGCAGAACTCCCTGCCTGAGGGCAAGAGCTTAATGAGGCTGGGAAAAAAATTGTTTATCAATTTAATAGATTCGTGTTGCTCTTTCTTTTTTAAAATAAAAAACCACTTCTTCAGTGTCTAATGTGGTTTCCAGTGGTGTCAGGAAGCAAATCTTGGGTGGGATTATGGTGGGATCATCATTGAAGAATCCAGGCATGGAATTCTGCCAGAAACAAGATCAGGAATTCAGAGATGTCTTATTCAACCCACCTGAATATTCCTGGAAATATTATCCAGGTTTTCTCTTACTCAGTTACCCAGTTTTCCTGTTTTTAGGCTCTGGAATATGCCAAGAAGATTCCAAGACCAAAGACTTTCTTTAGAAGGCAATCAGAGCAAGAGGTGAAAGAGGTTCTGCCCCAGGCTCCAGGTGGAACCAGCCTGCCCCAAATCCCATCCCTGGAATCTTTGTGGAACAGGCACGAGAGGGAAAAGGAACTTGTGGCTGCTTTCAAAGCCCTTCATATCTTATAGGAATTTGGGAAATCTCAGGGATCAAGGCAAAAATGCCTGAATTGTTTCATTCTCAGCTGTGACCATCACATCTTGATTTCCCAGTCCGCTGACATTTAAACTGCCTTAAGTTTAATTAATTTTTAAATGTTAGGATTGGTTCTGCCTGTGCCTATTTTGTTTAATAAATTGACCCTTTGCATTTATAGTGCTTTAAATATAGTCCTCTGTTCTTTTTCTTTGAAAGAAATGATCTGACAATTGCATCTTTCAACCAGTCAGCTCTAGGCTTGTCACAGCTGGATCATTTTTAATCATATAAACAGACGTATCTACAAAACATTCAAAATAAACTTCTGTTTCACCTGGTGATCTTAACACCAGCAATATTTCTCTTTCTGCAGTTCAGAAGAGACTTTTGGGCAGAAATAAAAGCAAAAAGAATCCATTGCTACTAAAAAAAAAAAGAGAACAAAAATATGCTCCAAACACAGCAGTTGGTAATGACACAAAGTTAATTATTTCATTGTTACTCTGTCGTCTCTTAGTGAAGAGTTTCCACAAAAAGATCCAAATTTTGAAGCTTCATCTGGGACAAGAGAATTCCAAACAAGTCCTGGCTGAGCATGCAGACAATCTGGGATTAGCCAGGAGCAGTTGGAAAATATATTGGGTAACTGAGGATAATTGAGAGCTGCATGTTTGAGAGGAAACAGCTTTTAACAGATTAAGGCTGTAAAAATAACAACAAACAGATGGGTTTCTTAGGATGCTTCCATTTCTTTAACTTGGTAAATTATGAATTAAGTCACCATATGAAATGTGATTAGAGCACACAGTGAGGGAATTTGGGCTAAAATCTCCTGGAAAACAGGCTGGATAAAAGGAAAAAAAAAACCAAATAAACCACCTTGTGATGATGTGGGATTGCTTTATCCCATTTATTTGGGTCTCTTTTTTATGGGGACTCCCAATTTAATATTGGAAAAAGTGATCCCCACCCTGCCCTTCCTCATGGAGAAGGGAGCTGGGATGATGGGCAGGAGCCTCCCCTCCCCTGCTGAATCCACTCTTGGACTCACAGCTGGAAGTTCAGCACATTTTGGGCAATATTGAGAAATATTGAG